ACACATACAACTCTGTTTGGAAACTGAAGTCGGTATTTGAAATTAAAAGATGCATTGACATGTCCATCGTCAAGTCATTATGGACGTTACGCTTTTGACCACTCCTTTGAGGCTTTGACTGAAATCATAAAATAAAATATATAAAAGTCTGGGAATAATCTGTAAAATTTACTATTTATTGGTACGAGAGCGTAATTAAATAAAATTAAAACAAACGGCACGCAGTTTGCGTTCCCAAAATTGTTGGACTAGTCAAAATATCTGCTTACGTCCGTTAACTTTAATGTTGACTGAACTAAAAAGAATTGGTTTCCCCATAATACCCTTTCATCTGTTAGATCTTTTCGGGAGATGAAGAAGATAAGCTTTAAACGAATTTTTATAATATTTTTAAAACAATTCGAGATCTGAATCTGATGGCTGAGGTCCTGCAAAGTATCCCCAACCGTCCAGATCATAGCTGGGCCATAGCTTCCTTTAGTTTCCCGAAAAGGAAAAAATAATTCTATCACGAACATTTCGCTGGCCCATTTTCGATACTTCCATTTTTATAAAACTTTTTTTGGAAACTAATACGTAATTTTTTTTCTGAAGTAAGTAAAATTTCCTTTTGTATAATGAAGTAGTTTCTAAAATATTAATTGTTTCTCTCTTGGAAAAAGTCAAGTAATTGTGCAGAAAAATAGATTTTTTTTGGAAAAATGGAAATACATAGTATTAAAAATGGGAATATGTTTTTTCAAAAACAAAAAAAATGGGAATATGAAAAGAGTAAAAAGGAAATTATTGGGAATTTGGGAATAATAAAATGCAGACGTGGCACTCATACCCTTTCCACACAGAGGGATATAAACAGCGTCTGCCTCACGCCGAGAGAGAGAGAGATCTGATCGGTGAAGTTGTATTGTAGGTTTTGTTGTTGGTGAGATTTGATCAGAATGAGCGGCGGCGACGGAAACAACGGTGGTGGAGAGAGACGCAAAGGTTCGGTGAAGTGGTTCGATACGCAGAAGGGTTTCGGTTTCATCACACCCGACGATGGTGGTGACGATCTCTTCGTTCACCAGTCCTCCATCAGATCTGAAGGCTTTCGTAGCCTCGCCGCTGAGGAATCTGTCGAGTTTGAGGTTGAGGTCGATAACAACGGCCGTCCCAAGGCTGTCGAAGTTTCTGGACCCGACGGTGCTCCCGTTCAGGGAAACAGCGGCGGCGGCGGTTCATCTGGAGGACGCGGTGGTTTTGGCGGTGGAAGAGGTGGCGGACGTGGTGGATACAGCAGTGGTGGTGGTGGAGGAGGTTATGGAGGAGGTTATGGAGGAGGTAGAGGCGGTAGTGGCCGTGGAGGTGGCGATGGCACTTGTTTTAAGTGTGGTGAGCCAGGTCACATGGCGAGAGATTGTTCTCAA